ATAAGCAAACTCATGTTCTTTATTATTATCACTATCATTACTAAAAGTTTCTTTGTCTTTGTCTTCATCTTCAACTTCATCTTCATCTTCATTTTCATCTTCTTCCATGTCATCTTCTTCATCTTCATCTTTTTGCATGTCATCTTCTTCATCCTCAATCAAGAGATTAACCTCTTCATAATTACCATTTACTAAAACTGTAAAGTTATCAAGTTCTTCCGATGAAGTACCATTAATTGAAATAGACACATCTTCTTGGTATACTTCTTCATTCAAATCAATTTCATTTTCTCTATCTCTATTACTAGGAATGTGAAATCTACTCCTAGTTTTTGTTTTAAATACTGCCCACCAATCACGTCAATCTTTTTTGGTTGATGGATAACTCCTATAATAAACTTAGTGAGCTTGTGCAGCTAAAACAAACTGTTCATTAGTGGCAAGTATGGAGTTGTGATTAAATTTAACAAAACCATGCAAGGGATCTATCTTAATTCCTTTTTCAGTGTCAAACCAATGACACTTAAATAGCACAACTCTGTTCCCAATACCAAAATACTCCAACTCAATTATATCCACTAAAATACCATAAAAGTCACGCTCATAATCATTGTAAAAACTCCCTTTTATGCAGACCCCACCCCACTATTCATTATCTTACCATTTTGTCCGTAATCTAGGGTGTGAAACTTGAAACCATTTACAAAATATCCTTTGTAACACCTTATCATACGTCCTGGACCATAAGAGATTTGAAGTATATGTGGGTCAATTTCATCTTTCTATTTTGCAACCTACGAACATGAAATACAACACCAAAAATTATTAATCACATAATTAATGCATATTTGTTATTAAAAGTTCACTTCTAATTTATATAAACTTACATAATTTTTAAACCATTTCACGAATCTTGCATCAGGTACTTTCTTCAATTTATCTTCCTATATATACACAACATCTCTCTTCATCATTTCATCAAACATCCTATCATCATATCCACAATTTACGAATTAAGTTCATTATTATGATCAATCATTTGAGTTTATAGTAGAATGGTACTTAATATATAGGAACATCTCTTCACAATTCATTAAAACATATAGCTCAACAACATAAAACTCATCCTTATCTAAAAATCAAGATTTATCTAATGGACCAAAAGTTCACTCAAGATGAGTGAAAATTGAAGGACGACCAAGAGAGTCCACGTCTCCCTCATCATCATTACGTGGCACTTGATTTAATCTTATTCGCATAGTAGGTTCAAAATACCATGAGCAAAATGAGGAAATTTCCTCGATCATATAAGCCTCACACATAGATCCTTCAACAAAGGCTCGATTTTTTACTTTTTTCTTCAAATATTGCAAA